GAGGAAACTCACTGTTTGGTGATGTTTATGGTGCCAGACTTCAGGCAATCATTGACTGCAAATGATTTTCCTCCAAGTATTAAAAATAATGATTAGATTCACAATTATGTTAGTTTGTCCAATTACTTTTGAGCCTCTGAAAATGTGGGTGGCTGTGTAAAAATGGCTGTAATTCCTAAACGGTTATTGTGAATTATTTTGTTTTATCCATTGAATTAAAGCTGGAAGTCTACACTTCAACCACATATTGACTGCTTCAGTTCAAATCCATTGGAGTCCTGTAAAGAGGCAAAATTAGAAAAATTGTGTCACAGTCCAAATACTTATGGCCCTGACTGTATGTTGAGCAAGTTTCAATTCTCTCCCTGGAAGAAAACATAAACATTTAAAGATGACAGCTCCACCCACATGAATGTTGTCAGCAATGCAAGTTATAAAGGATTTACTTGGCTGATGTAAAATCTTTTATAATCTCTGAATTGTTGCTATGGGAGAAAATTGATCCATGTTGTTAACACATTCTAGCTATGTTCAAAGATCACATGTTTTATGTAATCAAAGTGAAAGAACCAGAAGTAAACTTACAGCTGCCACAGTCAGCATGTCAAACACTTTGGTGCAATACCGCCAGGCATTTGCATTTCCATATTTTGTTTGGCACTCATCTAAAAATAAGCAAAACATACATGCAACATGGTTTGATGAGCTTGTGAAACAGAAAACATTTGCATATATAAAAAAACAGTGAAGCATGTGTACTTACCATAAAAGCCGTACACTTGTGTTATTTGTCTGCTCTCATGGTTTCCACGTAGAAGTGTGATGCGATCCGGCCACTTTGCTTTTAAAGCCAGCAGATGTGTAAATGTCTCCAAGCTATAATATCCTCTGTCTACAAAGTCTCCCTAGAGGAGGGAAAAGACGACGCCATCAGTGAACGCAAGACATTTAAGAGCCTCCATGAATTCATTCACAACACAACTCTGTAGTTTCCAGGACACGGTGCATCTTCACATCTGAACAACCTGGGCACAGAATGATTGGAGTTATGCGTTTGCTACTTTCTAAAAAAGCTTGTACTTAGCTGTGCTGCTCATCCCAGAAATGCATGTTCCTTACCAATGGGGCACCGTTTAAAAGATAAATAAACAGGCTTTCCAACGGTATACAATTTATTGCCAAGAAGCATTGTTACAACAGAAATAATCAACCAAACACTAATTTCCGAACTTTTTGTTCGATGTTTATGTCATTTACAGTACATATCCCAATATTAAACGTGTTCTCTGTTTTTAAAAGTACAATCGTAGGTAGATAGCAAGCACTACTTGACCATCCAACTACCCAAGTGGTTGTGTAACCAGTCTGATCTGGAGTTCATCACAGCTGATAGAGAAGTGGTTTGTTTACATGGCATGGCACCCCCGCAAAGGCCAAAAATAATACAAATTTGAATGCCAAATATTGGTTGAAGTGTTTTCCCTTCATGGCACACCACAGTGAATGCAGTGAAGTCCTACTGTGAACAAGGCTGGTTACATGTCTGTCATAACAGCAGCACAGTTGAGTGTCTGTTATCTAAACTGCTCCGGTCATTGAACTAGTGAAGTGAAGGAAATGTTTTAGGCACCATTATAAACGGGCTCGGTAACATGCTCACAGAGAATATTTGGTTAAACAGATGCCTGATGCTTAGGCATGGGAAGATGTCATGTCACGATTATCCTGGCCAAAATAATTGCGATTAAAAAGGTATTATCCCAAAACTTTAAACTTTATAGTGTTAAATTTGAGTATGGAATCTAGTTTGGTGTTATTATGTTCTGACCCCCCCTATGCATGTAAATCAAGAAAACGCTCACTTACCATGAAAATGTAATTTGTGTCTGGAACTTGGCCTCCAGTTCTGAAGAGCTCACAAAGATCATAAAACTAGACAGGAACATTAAAGAAAATGTATTCTTGATTCATTAGAAAAAACTATTAGCAATATAACAGATGAGCCTGGGCGATAATTCAATATTATATCGTGATTAAAATCATATGGAGATATTGTGATACACAATCAGAAAATCTGATCATTTTGCACTTACATTTTTAATTAAATGAGAAAATAAATCAGTAATTTATCGGGAAAAAAATCTGTATTTAATTCACACAAGAGTATACAAAACCATGTGCTTATTTCATTTAGACTATTTATTTAATAAATCGCCAGAAAAAACATGCTATATGGTAATACATATATCTTTATCAAGAAGATTTGGGCAGTATTGCCCAGCCCAACTCATTTTACATGGACCAGTCCCCATGTGGATTCATGTTCTTTTAGCATTGAAAGTAAAATAAAAATAGGATTGGGGCGAAATCATCAACAATAATGCTGTGAAATTAGTATTGCAGCTTATTTTGCCCGACTTATACATTCAGATTGTCAATGCCGACTAATGACGCATACATTAACATATAAAAAAGCCACTAACTTAATACAATTCATTTTCAAAATAAGCAACAATAGTAGAACATCTCTATCTGTAAAATCAGTCTTCAGGCTAATATTTGGTAACAAGTACGGTTCATCCATCATCCTTATAGGAGATAAGAGGAAGAAATCAACCGGGCCTACCTGACCATGAATATCTCCACAAACGGTAACCGGAGTAGAAACTGGCTGAACATTGGATTCTTCCAGCAGTAAATCACATACATAATCACATAATCTCTGAAAAAGTAAAACATGACAATAGTTAGTAGTAGTGACAGTCATGCAGTCACATTACAGCTTCATAACAACATGCCAGCATACTGGTCTACTTTGATAACTAATTAGGAGCGGAGCAGCTTTTGGGAGGAAAGAAAATCAAATCAAATTTAGTTTTTCAATATTAAAAACAAAATTTTACAATCCAGATGACAGCGAGATTTATTCTATACTATTTTAACAATGAGGCATTCACAAGGGCAGCTACATATTCTCTTGTTGTCAACAGCTGTCGTACGACAACCACAGACGCATTCAGGTGAAAGTCACCAGTTAGCAGTGTTGGGATCTGACTATATGGCTTCGACATGTGCTGTGGAACAAAGAGAGTCAGGCCTTCCCTTTTGCAAGCAAAGGTTTCATCCTGATTGTAGTTTGAGCACCAAACCCCCAGCGCTGTAGAAATTCACATTAGGGTGTGAGTTTCCTCCCCCCAAAAACTGTGTTCCTGAAGTTACCTGAAAGCAGCGCTGCAATGTAATTGGCCAAGGGCCAAGACACCCCAGGACCCCTGTGGTTCAGCCACTGTTCTACAAAACTACCTGCAACCCCCACCACAATGCTTTTTCCCCATCGACCTCCGTCGAGCTAGGGAGCACACCAACGTTGTTTCCCTTTTCATCCAAATCCTACGTCTAACAGTTTATATTAGCTGGCCGAATTCACCAAACTGTCTATTTTCTTTGTTCGTATCCACGAAGCGAACCCTTTTATTCCTGCAGAAGTGAAGAAGCAAGACTTCTTCAGAAAGAGAGAGAGAGAACTTCCACTCTCCACCAAGCACCTCGTTTGCTCCGGCCATAAGGACGCGAAAATCCCTTATCCAGACGAAAGCGATTCTCTCCTACCGAGAGAACACCTCCCGCGGCCCGCAGCCGTGCTGCCTGGGCCCAACGAAGCTCAGAAGAACCCCCCTCAATCACCACGATTGCATCGTACCGTAAGGCGAAATAGATTCTGGGCAGAGTTAGAGAGAGTTAATTTGATCTTGTTTGTGTGCTTAAAGTACTGTTCATTTTTATAACGTGGTGTATGCTTTATGATCACCGACACTGGCGATCCCTGAAATTGCTAGTGTTGTGTAGAAGTTAGCGTGTATTTCATGCTACCGTGATTCGTGTTGAGACAGCCGCAGTGAGGTCGAAGTTGCTTCTCATCAGTTCAGGAGGTCAGAACAGCCGGCTGAGACAAAGAGTCGCGGTTCTTGCTCCCCTGGCTGAGAGAGCAATCTTCCGTACTTCAGCGCGGAGCGAAGGATCTTAATCTCTTGTTTTATTTCATTTTCTTTTGTTCCTTTCCCTTCTCTTTTACCAATACACACACACACACACACACACACACACACACACACACACACACACACACACACACACACACAGCTTTGAGCTAATGTAGCTACGTGCTAAACGGCTACCGGCACATATAGACGCCGGGTCTTCCGTTGGCTACCCGCCATTTTGAGTCTCGCGCATGAGCGACGTCACAACTACATCATACGTCGCTGAGCTGTTCCCTCGCTCCTCCCCCTACGCCCACACACTCCCCCCCCTCCTCTTTTCAATCGTCTGTTGATTTTAGATAGCGTGCTCATGAATGTATAGTTGTTGTTAGTTTAGATATTAGTTGACTAGATCATTAGTATTAGAACGTAATAAACTCTGTTATATTTTAAAGAGCAGCTGTCTGTGATTACTTTGTGCATGTGTATTGTGATAATAGCTGTATATGTGGTCTGTGCTCGAACTTAAACCTTCACTTTCACTCTGAATGTGTAATAGTACTCAGACTATTGACATTGTGAATGAATACTAATTATGAGACTTAGTTTATCGTTTGGTTATTGGTCCCTGTTCGCAGGGTGGTGCCCCGTTATTATTAATAATCATTAATAATTGTTACTGACATTAATAATTCTATTGATGTCAAGAATTTAGTTTCTTAGATGCTGATAACCCAAACACGCTTCTTTATGTTTCCCAACATAATGGTGCCTCCTTTTTGAGGCTATGTTATTCCCAACAGCAGGGTCGCTTGATAAACCGAAACACCGCAGCAGGAAGGCTGTGGCATTTTGATCATGTTTTATTTGTGAATCCCAACCATAGACTGGATAGAAGCAGTGGACGAGTCAGCGCCATGTCACCCATTGGTTTGTGGACTGCGGTTCTGAAGCCTCGAGTTCGACATTTTGGCTTCACTTTTCAGAACTGATTGTTGCCTGATCCCAACCACCGGGGGATTTAAAAAAGCAGCAATTAGCAGCTAACACACAGCAAGTAAGAACGACAGCAAATTGGGGAGACGATAAGGTCCGGGAGCTCCTTACCCTCCGAGCAGAGCACATCAACACTGAGTTCACCCGCCATTATTAGGCTCGTTCAACTTAACTGTGCCTCGCTTTGAAAGTGGACGAGATCAGGCGGCTGACAACTTCTACTGTAGAATACACAGTAAGTTGTAAAAATAGTCAAATATTATACTCATATATATACACATATACATACATATATACACATATATATACATACATATACACACATATATATACATACATATACACACATATATATACATACATATACACACATATATATACATACATATACACATATATATACATACATATACACATATATATACATACATATACACATATATATACATACATATACA